GCCGGGCCTCCAGGGAGCTTCTGCTGTGCTCGTGCTGCGCTTTCAAAGCAAGCAGGGATGCTGGAAGTTGAAACTCTGGGGCTGATGTTAGCTCACAGAGCGGCACTTGGGCAGTGCCACTGGTGTAAGTTGTCTGTGTTTCTTTTAATTTAATAACAGCACTAGGTTTTGAGCTACCCCTCTCTCTCCCCCCTCCACTCCAAAAAAGGAGAGAGAGAGGAGACGAAAGCAGGATTGCCGGGGGCTAACCAGGGGCTGGTCCACATGCACGTGCCTTTCTCAGTTGCTCTGGATACTTCTCTCTGTTTTTCCCCCTTCCAGCCCTGCCAGCTTCCCTGCCACCAAAACTGTCAATGGACAAAGCCACGTGAATTATTTGGTCCACATGAGAAATGCAGCCCCGCACCCTGCTCTGAGGAGCACCCTCCCTGCGCTGGTGCCAGCTGGGCTGGGCTGGGAAGATGGATTTCCTGCCTCTATCAGGGCTTCCCCACCCCGGCAAAGCAGCGCCTCGGAAACAATGCCGCTATTTACACTTTAAAGCCTCGTTAGGCAGCCAGGAAACGGGCCGAGTGCATGCCGGGAAGGAGCTGAAGCTTTCACCGAAGGCTAGCCCCTCTTCTTCACCACCCGGCTGCTGGGAGGAGCAGGGTGCTCCCTGGTGGAGTTGTAACCCTGCAGCCTCTTTCCGGTCCCTTTTTATTACTGTTGTTATTTTTTTTAGCCTCTAGAGTCCCTGCCTTGTTGCTGAGCTTTGCTGCTTGCGCAGAAAGCGCGATTGCTGTCCGGCCGGAGAAGGTTCCTCTCTCGGGTGTAGAGCTCCGAATCCTGCTGGTGGCCGCAGGTGTAACAGCGAGGTGCCGGCGCTGCTCGGCCTTTGTCCTCGGTAGCGGTCGCTGTTTTCTCTTTGCCAGCGAGACAGTGCGAGGGGAGTGCAGGCAAGGGCTTTCCTTCCAGCGAGACCCCTGGGAAGGCACGGTGCATCCCCCTGCTTCGTGGTGGTCCTACCCCCTGCGCGCTGTGACGAGCCACGGCCCGGCGATGCAGCCCCTCGCGTAGGGGCCCTGGCTTTGCATGATGTGCTTTTGGCTGCTTTGGCAACGTAAGGATCCCCAGCTCTGGGGGTTTGGTTTGGGTTTTAACCGTTCGCAGCGCAAGGAAGCTGCGGGGCTGGGCTGGGGAGCGCATCGGAACAGCTTTGCTTGCAGGGCTGGCTGCTGCCAGGCAAGGAAAGTGGAGGAGAAGGCAGATGGAGGGCTGGGCACCGCTGAATTGCATGTGAGTCACTTGGAGAGCACCCGCCGTCGTTTCCCTGGACGCTTGTACGTATGGAGCTGCTTCCTCGCCAGCTGCTGTCTGCTGTGCCTTTTCCAAGCTCTCGCGTCAGCCCTGCGCCGCGCTGCTGGGCTCCTGGCGAGCCCCTGGCCCCGGCTCTCCACCTGCAGGGACCCGGTCGAGGCATAAGCGTCGAGCCTGGGTCACTCGGAGCCTGCTTGGAGTTTTGCATGTGCTTGCCTGCGGCGAG